GCTGCATGAGGCAAATTGTTGTCACACCAGATACTGACTGGTTTTCTGATCCATACCCCTACTATTCTTTTAAAGGTATCTGTGACCAACCAAATGCATATCTGTATTCCCAGTCATCCATAATGAATTTATTTCAATTGACTGATTTCCTTATATGAACTGTAACTCAGTAAAATCAATAGAAATTGTTGCATGTTGCGTTTATATTTTTGTTCAGTGTACATAACATACCAAACAAATACCATTTTCAATATCTTCAATTAGAGGGAGTAAAGAAGAACATTTATATCAATCATTACAACAATCAGCTATCCTCGCTTTTTCAAAAACGTAAGCTTTCTCAAACAATCTGTAAAAACACATTTTCTATGACTGGCAATTCGAGAACCCAACTCATACAGTACAGAATTCTTAATTGTTCACATATCACCAATCATAAATTACATATCATGGGGTTCTCAGAAACCAATAAGTGTAAGCACTGCCCCAATCAAACAGACAACCCCATGCCGTTTGGGCCTGCAAACCAATCATACAATCATTCAGGTCAGGGGTCATGAGCAAGTTGTCTGAGACCCTTGGCCTCAGCATCCTTATCTCCCCTGCCCTCTCCCTCCTTGGTGAACTGTCCATAACAAATACCCCTCAACACAGAAACTTTATAGTACTTTCCCTTCACAATTGCAAAAAAAATGCTACTACAAAACTGGAAAGATAGAATATAGCTCTCCATACTGCACTGGCTCAATCTTTTAACTGACCACTTCTACCTTGAAAAATCTTCTGCATCCCTCAACCTTTTCACAAGTGAGTTCCAAATATCTCTTATGGTCACCCTAACATGAGTTCTTTTATGCGTGTGATGTCAGAATGCACTAACTTTGTTCTAAAATGTGATTGTTAGTCAAAAGGACAGTTAACCCATGCTGCCCTCAAACCAAGGCTCGCTGCCTGCTAATGATCTGTAGGCTGTTTCAACTTGGCAATTTCTAATTATTTTTATTTTCTAACATTAATTTTACATAGAAGTAGCCCATTTCACTGTTGCAGACAATTTACATTTGAGGCATTACTAAGTCGGACAAACTTCTACCTTCGACGAGAGCCCAAGCACTTCCCCAGATCAAGTATGCAGACATTTGTGCATCTCCAGTCAGACAGAATTTGCACTAACTTTATTCCCACCTGGCACATTTTCCGGCTGGCACCCGAATTGCCTTCATTGTTGTTTTCCTTACTAATAATAACTTTGGACATGCGTGCACTCCTATCAAAGTAAGTGCCTTATTACGTTATCATTATAGTTTCTGTATATCGTGTTATCATTTCTACTGTAGGACACCATATGTATGTATGTATGTATGTATGTATGTATATATGTATGTATGTATGTATGTATGTATGCAGCATAATGTATTTACTGTTTTATTCACGTTTTCAAGTACTGGTAACAAATCATGCATTCCGATTCTTGCAAAGATTGTAACGGACACATACACTACATGACCAAGAGTATGTAGACACCTGCTCGTCGAACATCTCATTCCAAAATCATGGGCATTAATATGGAGTTGGTCCCCCCTTTGCTGCTATAACAGCCTTCACTCTTCAGGGAAGGCTTTCCACTAGATGTTGGAACATTGCTGCAGGGACTTGCTTCCATTCAGCCACAAGAGCATTCGTGAGGTCGGGCACTGATGTTGGGCGATTAGGCCTGGCTCACAGTCGGCGTTCCAATTCATCCCAAAGGTTTTCGATGGGGTTGAGGTCAGGGCTCTGTGCAGGCCAGCCAAGTTCTTCCACACCGATCTTGACAAACAATTTCTGAATGGACCTCGCTTTGTGGACAGGGCATTGTCATGCTGAAACAGGAAAGGGCCTTCCCCAAACTGTTGGCACAAAGTTGGAAGCACAGAATCGTCTAGAATGTCATTGTATGCTGTAGCGTTAAGATTTCCCTTCACTGGAACTAAGGGGCCTAGCCCAAAACATGAAAAACAGCCCCAGACCATTATTCCTCCTCCAAACTTTACAGTTGCCACTGTGCATTGGGGCATGTAGCATTCTCCTGACATCCGCCAAACCCAGATTCGTCCATCAGACTGACAGATGGTGAAGCGTGGCTCCAGAGTCCAATGGTGGCGAGCTTTACACCACTCCAGCCGACACTTTCCATTGCGCATGGTGATAATAGGCTTGTGTGCGACTGCTCGGCCATGGAAACCCATTTCATGAAGCTCCCGACGAACAGTTATTGTGCTGACGTTACTTCCAGAGGCAGTTTGGAACTCAGTAGTGAGTGTTGCAATCTAGGACAGACGATTTTTACGCACTACGCGCTTCAGCACTCGCCGGTCCCGTTCTGTGAGCTTGTGTGGCCTACCACTTCGCGGCTGAGCCGTTGTTGCTCCTAGATGTTTCCACTTCACAATAACAGCACTTGACCGAGGAAGCTCTAGCAGGGCAGAACATTTACAAACTGACTTGTTGGAAAGGTGGCATCCTATGACGGTGCCACTTTGAAAGTCACTGAGCTCTTCAGTAAGGCCATTCTACTGCCAATGTTTGTCTATGGAGATTCAATGGCTGTGTCCTTGATTTTATGCACCAGTCAGCAAAGGGTGTGGCTGAAATAGCCAAATCTATTAATTTGAAGGGGTGTCCATATGCTTTTGTATACACTACCGGTCAAAAGTTTTAGAACACCTACTCATTCAAGGGTTTTTCTTTATTTTTACTATTTTCTACATTGTAGAATAATAGTGAAGACATCAAAACTATGAAACAGAAGATAGCCCTATTTGGTAAAAGACCAAGTCCATATTATGGCAAGAACAGCTCAAATAAGCAAAGAGAAACAACAGTCCATCATTACTTTAAGACATGAAGGTCAGTCAATACGGAACATTTCAAGAACTTTGAAAGTTTCTTCAAGTGCAGTCGCAAAAACCATCAAGCGCTATGATGAAACTAGCTCTCATGAGGACCGCCACAGGAATGGAAGTCCCAGAAGTTCATTAGAGTTACCAGCCTCAGAAATTGCAGCCCAAATAAATGCTTCACTGAGTTCAAGTAACAGACATCTCAACATCAACTGTTCAGAGGGGACTGTGTGAATCAGGCCTTCATGGTCGAATTGCTGCAAAGAAACCACTACTAAAGGACACCAATAAGAAGAAGAGACTTGCTTGGGCCAAGAAACACTAGCAATGGACTTTAGACCGGTCCAAATTGGAGATTTTGGGTTCCAACCACTGTGTCTTTGTGAGATGCAGTGTGGGTGAACGGATGATCTCAGCATGTGTATTTCCCACCGTAAAGCATGGGGGAGGTGTTATGGTGTGGGGGTGCTTTGCTGATGACACTGTCAATGATTTATTTAGAATTCAAGGCACACTTAACCAGCATGGCTACCACAGCATTCTGCAGCAATACGCCATCCCATATGGTTTGGGCTTAGTGGGACTATCATTTGTTTTTCAACAGGACTATGAACCAACACACATCCAGGCTGTGTAAGGGCTATTTTATCAAGAAGGAGAGTGATGGAGTGCTGCATCAGATGACCTGGCTTCCACAAATTGAGATGGTTGGGATGAGTCGGACCGCAGAGTGAAGGAAAAACAGTCATCAAGTGCTCAGCATATGTGGGAACTCCTTCAAGACTGTTGGAAAAACATTCCAGGTGAAGCTGGTTGAGAGAATGCCAAGAGTGGGCAAAGCTGTCATCAAGGCAAAGGGTGGCTATTTGAAGAATCTCAAATATAAAATATATTTTGATTTGTTTAACACTCTTTTGGTTACTACATGATTCCATATGTGTTATTCCATAGTTTTGATGTCTTCACTATTATTCTACAATGTAGAAAATTGAGCTACAACGGCACCGACCACCACTGGATTCAAAAGGAAAATAGATTAAAATGCATCACTCACAACAACTGCACTATTCTCACAGACTTCTCGCTTGATTCATGGTCAAAGTATTGAGTAATGGCATCTGTATAAATTCAGACTGCCATGCAACTTCCTGGGAACCGCACTACGAGTCGTGTCCCACAGTTTGATTGACATGTTTAGAGCCTTTAACATTGGAGCAGTGTTTGTTAATGATGTGTTCGACCACATATTTCCACATAGAGACTTTAGATCAGCGTGTGAAGCCGCTATACAGAGTCAAAACATAAGTAGATTAATGTGCTTTTAAAAAAAGTCCTTCCAGACTGTGTCAGGTGTGCCCTCAGACATGGTACATTTTTCTGTATTCCCAATAAACAGAATTCAGTCAATAATGAACAACATTTACCTGGAACATACATTAGTAACATTCCTCAAATCACAAACAAGAATCAACCAGCTTCCTCCTAGAGTCAGACACTGAGGCCAAGCACAAGTCACACAACAGGGCGAAGTACACAGAAATACTGGACACACTGTCTGACGCCTATCCTAGAGACTCCAAAGCACACATACCACCTCTCTTAGGAGATGTCTGGCTGACTAACTGTCTGAATGCCTCTGACTGGAAAAAGGGAAGTTAACGGGAGGGTACGCTTAGACATTTGGCTTCAGCGGTAGACACCCTTTGAAATATGTCTGGGAAGCAGTAGTTTGTATGATGTGGTGCATTCAATTAAGCAGTGGCCGCCCACAGAATTCTCCAACGTCTGAGGTAGTGGGACTGTTATTTTATCACAATTGCATACATCCATGTCTCTCAGACATAAACATACATAAATCCACACCCAGTCTCAGACAGCAGGAAAATACTTTCCACAGTTAGTTATAGTACAAACACGCACGCGCTCACACATTTCAAGACATTGCATCAACTCTTCAACAGACAAGGAGGCTGGATACATTCTGCTGAAGATGTAGTGATCTAATCATTAACCATTAGGCACTCTGAACTGTGTTTGCAGACAGTGATAACCCCACATCTTTGGGATAAACCACCTGGCTAGGTTCAACTACCTACAGTTTCCACCCTACAGAGCAACTCACTTGTGTCCATTGCAGCAGATTTCATCCTGAGGGTCGTATGTCTCCTCTCCACAGCAGTGTTTGCCTGGATCGTTGAGATGAACGTGTGACCCACACACCATTTCACGGGATGGCAGATACAAGTGACCACCTGGGGAGCACTGGTACCCATTCTCCACCACATGGTGCAAGGTCTGGTTACAGCAAAGCACCCCTCGGTCCTCTACACCATACGGAGTTGTACCGCAGCACTGGGAGAGACACACACCAGTCAGCAGGGTATCAACACACACACACACACACAACATGAATAACAGACACACATACAGACATTAATACAGACAGCTTCACGCAGACACACCATAGCATGCACATACACAAAATTCACACACAATCACAAAAGTTCACATGCTAGAAAAGAGAGTCTAACTTTCTTACCAGGGGACCTGTGCACACCTTCTCTACCAACAGAGTGCCAAGCGATATAAAAGAGACCCAAAGAGAGCTCTCGTTATCCGTCGTCTGACACACTCTCACACTGAAAAGGAGCTGCTCTACTCTAACTGGTTGCAGGGTGGGGCTTACATAACTAACCTTACAGTCAAACTGACATAGTACAGCATACAGCCCAAGTAAAGTAAATACCACTATAAGTAGTCATTGTTACTGGCAAATCATAGGGCGTATTTCTCCCTGATAGACAGGCAGCACTCTAGAACATTGGCAATGAGTATAGGACACCCACTTCCCACTGATGCCCTGTCTAAACATTCTGAGTGGACTGAAATGGGTCTGTGGAAAACGTATAGTGTCAGCCTTGTCTTACATTGCCACTTTTAGTTATTTTGACCATTTTAAATATGTACAAATAGACAGATACTGTACATCCCTGTACTGTATAGCATTGTCTTTATGCCTTGACCAACAACTACTCAACAGGCAGATGGATGATTAAGCTGTTTTACTTGACTTTGACTGACATGAGGAGAACTAAACCTAATGTAGCGGGAGGAGGTTCAGTGAAGTAAGTTTTAGTTGTAGGCCTTAGGTCTGTGGGCTAATGGACTCACCAGGTTCTTTCCAAGCACCCTATTGGACAGCTTCCCGGAACAGCAGATTTTGATGTCTGGATTGTAAACCTGAGAGCCACAGCTAGCACCATGGTGGTGACCTGGGCAGACAGATGGGAAGGAGGGAGGACAGTGATGTTCAAGAAAGGAAAAACGTATCGCCTACATTGTTTCCAGCAGCTGCCAGGAAGAGAGGGCTAAATGAAAGAGGTTCTGGTTGTTATATGCAGCGGTGTAAAGTACTTAAGTAAAAATACTTTAAAGTACTGCTTAAGTAGTTTTTTGGGGTATCTGTACTTTACTATTTATATTTTGGACTACTTTTACTTTTACTTCACTACTAAAGAAAATAATGTACTTTTTAATCCATACAATTTCCCTGACACCCAAAAGTACACGTTACATTTTGAACGTTTAGCAGGACAGGAACATGGTCCAATTCACGTGCTTATCAAGAGAACATCCCTGGTCACCCCTTCTGCCTCTGATCTGGCGGACTCACTAAACACACATGCATCATTTGTAAATGATGTCTGAGTGTTGGAGTGTGCCCCTGGCTTTCCGTAAATAAATAAAATAAAATAAATGTCGCCATCTGGTTTGCTTAATATAAGGACATTTAAATGATTTATACTTTTACTTTTGATACTTAAGTATATTTAAAACCAAATAATTTTAGACTTTTACTCAAGTAGTATTTTACTGGGTGACTTTCACTTTTACTTGAGTCATTTTCTATTAAGGTATCTTTACTTTTACTCAAGTATGACAATTGGGTACTTTTCCCACCACTGGTTATATGTGACTGGATCCATGAGTCATTTGACCGCAGTCAAATTCCACGTGACCATTGCAGTAATCTCCTCCTATTAACTCTGTACATGAATGGCGCTGATGCGTTGGTAGTCCCCATCTCGCTAACGACCATTATTTTTATTTACTTTGATTAATTCAGGGGAGCCCAATTGAGACCAGTGTCTCATTTGCAATGCTGCCCTGAGGACAAAAATTCCATCAACACAACAACAAAATATAAAAACTACAAGACAGCTATAAATACACTACATCAGGTTATTACAACAAGTTATAATAGTCAATTGAAACAATTGCACACTTCAGTAAACTCATTTAACAACAGAGTTTTAAACTGCCCTATCGGCACCAGGTAATCCAGGTGTAATTTGTTTTGTAAGGTATTCCATAACTGTGGTGCGTTAAAACCAAATGCAGATTTACCAAACTTTGTGGAGACAAACGGGACCTCAAGAGTTAACCAACCCTGCAACAGGTTTGGTATCTCATATTTTCAACAGGGAAGTGAGCTTTGTTGGAAGCTTGTGGAGCAGAGCTTTGTAAACATGAAGGGAGTAACGAAATGATCTACAGGACTTTAGTGAGGTCCAGCCGACCTTCTGAAACAGGATGCAGTGATGAGTATTAAAACTGTCACCTGTAATAAAGCGAAGGACGCTATGGTAGATGGCATCCAATGGTATAAGAGTAGTGGCTGCTGCATTCTGGTAAATGGTGTCACCAGTCAAGAACTGGCAGGAAAATTTACTGCACAATCTGCTTCCTGCTGTTCATGGAGAGGCAAGATCTATTTCTAAAAAGAAGGCCACATTAAATCATAGCTTTTTAACTAGCTCATCCGTATGTTTTTTAAACGTTAGATCTTTATCAATCCAAATGCCCTGATATTTATAGGCGGCAACCCGCTCAATGAGAGAGCCATCCAACGAGTGAATATGTAGCCCATCTGAGACATTATTCCGTGAATTAGAGAACAACATATGTTTAGTTTTGCCTGCATTAAGTACAAGTTTTAAATCAACAAGGGCTTTCTGTAATGCAACAAAATCAGATTGCAGCTCTAACATAGCTTGACCAACAGTTGGTGCAATGGCATACATAACCATATCGTCTGCATACAGAAAAAATATACATGCTGTACCAGTCAAAAGTTTGTTTCGGGATTCGTCCCTGTCGTTTTTCATGACATACATTGTGTTGGGTGGAGAAAATAAAACCCCTGATACGTATTCTTGCGCCTGTCTTTTAATCATCACGTGACACTATCGACGTTCCCGAACAGATTTGCTCTGACCTTTGCGAAACTGCGCTTCACCACTGCTTATAAGCCCAGACATTTCTATACACTGTAAAAGCAAGGGTTTAGGATCTGAACACATAACTAAACACTTTTCTGGAACACTTTTTAAACGCATCAAGGCATTTAGAATTTCAATGAAAACCTGTCATATAGCCTACCCGGCATGATTAAAAAGGAATTGCGGGAAAGCGCTGCCCCCATTTGCTATTCCAGTTCATATGGGTGACATGGTTTTTTTCCCCCCTGCCCGGGTTCCTGCCCATTTCATAATGGCCCATTCTAACCCAAAACAAATTTCACATATTAGTAAAGACAAGCTTAAATTGAGAATAGACTGATGGGTGAGAATATCACTTGATGAGAAAACAGCATGTGCAGCCTGAGGCAAGGAAAACATTTCATATGTGAAATTCGTTTTCAAATCATCAATATAGTTGCAACATGCAGCACATAAATGCTTTAATTTCTAAGACATTCTAAAGTTGTGAAATAACTCTAAATTAAGAGTATAGGACCCTTTTCAAATGACTACTTTTATGCTCAACATAGCCACTTCATATGCACACTCGCTCGGGAAAGGGAATAATATCCTTGTTATTTTATTCAGCTAAGTTCAATTATATTCTTCTTACTATAAAATCATATGATATTAAATAACGGCACAGGATTTATAAGCATATCTTGTCTGCTAAATGAACTAGCCTACAGCCTAAGCTGCCATTGGCATGGTGCATAGCCAGATAACATACAGTAGGCCAACTCAGAATATGCTATTCTGTTCTTCTGAAATACATTTTCTTCATATAATGTTTAGACCTGCCTAAAATAAATAATGGATTTATTGTGATGGTGTGTATTAAATGGATTCATTATACTTTTTTTTAAATGTAGATGTTCCAAAGGGGTTCATCAGCGGTTTGTTTGCACAGGCAGGTCACCTGTGATACAAGTCAGTCTTCGACGTCCATCCATGTCTAAGGATGTCGGGAGATGATGTGGAAATGGGCCACTAGGGGCAACAGTGAGCGCTGTTACCATCAAGTAGGTTTCGGTTTTGCTAAGGTGTTGTGGACAGGGATAGCAGGTGGGCGTGTAAGCATCTGCCTCTGGTTCCAAAGGTTGCATGATTTTGATTATTTATTTTTTAAGCCTATCCCAAACCTTAACCATTACCTTAACCGTTCGGAGTTTATGCCTAACCATAAGAATTCGGAGTTAATGCCTAAACTTAACCTTAAACACTTTGAAATTTGACGTTTGGAACAACTTCGTCATTTGAAGTTTGAGAAACATGTTTAAACATGGATGTTTAATGCTGTTTCCTCCCATGTGTTATAGGTGTAGAGGTGGTTGATGGTGGTTAGACAATCATTCCATTCTAAATTCCTCAACACGTGATTTCCAATCAAAACAGCTCTTTTCATTATATTCAGGAAGGTGACCACCTCTCATACTTTAACATTTTTAGAATCATGATACATCTCTTTTTAATTTGTTACCGTTACACCATCGCCTACCCTACCAGACTTCCCAGGGGGGATAAGATCATTACCTAGAAGATTAAGGTACACACCAGTGACCTTTCTAACACTAGAGTTGCACCATGTTTCATATGAAGGGATGTTTCAGAGACAATATGGTGCTGATTCATGCATGGGTAATGGTCTGGTAATAACATTTATTTTAGATATTTGTTCAGTCAACTATTCTTAACATTTTAGCCTGTAACCTGGAGTCGCACAGTATAATTACACATGGCTAGAGATTTGAAGTGGTTCGAGAAACAGTTCAAGAGTGGCTAAATGAAAGTGATTTATCTTTTGAAATACTTATCATTACTTCAATATCTTATTTGGTGGTAGAGGACCTCATCTTTCACGCAAGACATCACACACACACACACTTACATCCACATGTCTCTCAGACTCGCAAAGATGCATTCCCAGTCTGAAAAATAGGGAAAATACTTTCCACAGTTTATTATAGTGCAAACACACACACACACACACACTAGAGATTAGTAGTACACCTTGTGCTGTCTTACCTGGGGTGTGGCTGAGTGTTCCCTCACTGTAGGTCTGGTCACGAGAGTAACGCTGCCCCTGGCGAGATGTAGGGTTCACACAGCAACGCTCTGTTGTTGGGTTAAAGCAGGAACCTTGACCACAGGGTTTCTCCCCAGGCATACTGGAGGCATGTGGAGAAACAGACACACACACACACACACACACACACACACACACACACACACACACACACGCACACACACATACAATTAGATGCATAACAAACATGTACATAAAGACACAGAAACAAACCATAAACATATTTACTGTATATGTACACAAATACACATGCACAAGCTCAGTTACTTTGTTTAGTTTTTTTACATTATCCATAACTATGTTTTTAATTATTCCACCACTCTCAGACAACGGTTTATAGTTAAAAGGCCCACATATCACAGTATCAATGTGCTTGTTGGCAGACCATTCCAATGTCTCTGGCCTAGGCCAAAAGCCAAAACCCTCAAGGAAAATAAAATAATTTCTGACACCTACAGATGTTCAGTTAATTTGAAATCTATTATAGAACCTTCAGAAATGCTGATAAGTAGTGGGTGTTAAAAAAATAAATGATATTGCATTATTTAAAATGGATGCCACCCCCATTGTGGCTTTGAGCCATTGGACATTAAAAAGTATTATTTTAAAACCTGACTGTAAATGAAATGGTTGACTTGAACATTGAATAAAGAAAGTGATACATGATGAGGTTCAGTATATGGTTGAAGGCCAAAAGCAACCTTACCAGTTTGTAGAACGCTGAGAAATTCTCCTGGCCTGAAAAAAAGAAAGAACAAAATACACACAAAAATGACAAACTATCATAATGTGAAGTTTCATTACAACCATACAAAACTAGTAGGTTGCCTTTTACTAACATTAAACATTGTCCGTTTAGATTAGATTAGATATTTCTTAATTTTCTGTTTTTCACAGATATTTGCTTTATGTACAAGAAAAGGCACTGTGATGAGAAAAGATTCACTACAAAAAGAGAGACATAGCATATGCTAGACATAACATCAAACATACAAACTCATGAAAAACAAAACTGAAATGACAGCTTAAAGCGGCAATAAGCAGTAGAAAAAATAACAAAGCCGTCTCCCCACCCCTAGTTCAGCAAAAAGCTGAGGGATGGGGCTGGAGAAATGTAATCGCTCTCAAATTCATAGACCGAGCTATGGATGCAAGGATTGACCATCCATGATATCAACATTATAATTTTAACCATGTTTTGAGGCTATATAGTGTTTGTTTACATTTTCTTTGTTTACAAACATTGGAGTAAAACAATCTTATATTTTGGGTTCTGATGGGGTACGACAGTTGAGGCATTTATAAATTACATTCTTCAAGAATCAATGGATACGTATCATAAATGTATAAGTCCAAAAATGGATGTAGCAACTGATGATTGCCTCTGTAAGGACTTTCACCTCCTTTCCCCATAACATAAACCCCCCCTATACTCAATATGTGGCGGGTGATTTGGACGGAGTCAGACGCAGGAGGGTAAATCACAGAATAAATTGTTTATTCGATAAACAGCGGTACGCAGCAATGCGTAAAACACTAAAGTGCGGTAAATATGGCGCACTGGAGAAAACAAGGCAGACGGGTGAATATCCCGGCGATACAAAATACAATAGCTCCACCGAGCTATAATATCCTCCACAATAAACAATCACACACAGAGACAAGGGAGACAGAGGGAACACTTATACAGGTACTGATGAGGGGATATGAACCAGGTGTGTGTAATAAACAAGACAAAACAAATGGAATGATGAGATGAGGAGCGGCAGTGGCTAGAAGGCCGGTGACGACGAACGCCGAAGCCTGCCCGAACAAGGAGAGGAGGCAGCTTCGGAGGAAGTCGTGACAGTAAACCCCCCCCCCCCCCCTTTACGCGCAGCTCCAGCAGCGCGCCGACACCGGACTTGGGGACGGCCAGGAGGACGCAGAGCAGGGCAAGCCGGATGCCGATCCGATGGTGGAAATCCCGCAACAGGGAGGGATCGAGGACATCCCTCACCGGGACCCAGCAATGCTCCTCCGGACCGTACCCCTCCCACTCCACGAGGTACTGAAGGCCCCCACCTGACGCCTTGAATCCAGGAAGGAACGGACGGAGTACGCTGGGGCACCCTCGATGTACTCGACATCGAGGGGGCGCAGGGACCTCCCACACCTCAGACTCCTGGAGCGGACCAGCCACCACCGGCCTGAGGAGAGACACATGAAACAAGGGGTTAATACGGTAATCAGGAAGGAGTAGTAACCTATACGTAACCTCGTTTATTCTCCTCAGGACTTTGAACGGCCCCACAATCCGCGGGCTCAGCTTCCGGCAGGGCAGGCGGAGGGGCAGATTCCGGGTCGAGAGACAGACCCGATCACCCGGTACAAAGACCGGGGCCTCACTATGGTGGCGGTCAGCGCTGGCTTTCTGGCGACGTACGGTGCGCTGGAGGTGGACGTGGGCAGCGTTCCACGTCTCCTCCGTGCGCCAAACCAGTCGTCCACCGCAGGAGCTTCGGTCTGGCTCTGATGCCACGGTGCCAGAACTGGCTGATACCCTAAGACACATTGAAAGGGAGTTAGGTTAGTGGAGGAGTGGCGGAGAGAGTTCTGGGCATATTCGGCCCATGGCAAGAACACCGACCACTCCCCCGGCCTGTCCTGGCAGTAGGACCGCAGGTACCTACCCATGTCCTGATTTATCCGTTCCACCTGCCCATTAGACTCGGGGTGAAACCCAGAGGTCAGGCTGACCGAGACCACCAGACGTTCCATGAACGCCTTCCAGACCCTGGATGTAAACTGGGGACCCCGGTCAGACACTATGTCGTCTGGCACCCCGTAGTGCTGGAAGACGTGAGTAAACAGGGCTTCTGCTGCTTGCAGGGCCGTGGGGAGACCGGGCAGAGGAAGGAGGAGGCAGGCTTTAGAAAAGCGGTCCAAAACGACCAGGATGGTGGTGTTTCCCTAATAGAGGGGAAGATCAGTGAGATAGTCGATTGACAAGTAGGACCACGGCCATTGTGGAACTGGTAAGGGATGTAACTTACCCGCTGGGAGGTACATTACTCTGGGCGCACACCGAGCAGGTGGAGACATACACCCTCACGTCCTTAGCCAAGGTAGGCCACCAGTACTTCCCGGTCAGGCAGCGCACTGTACGGCCGATACCTTGGTGACTAGAGGAGGGGGACGTGTGTGCCCAATAGATCAGACAATCACGGACAAGAGACAGCACGTACTGCAGCCCAGCTGGGCACTGAGGTGGAGATGGCTCTGTGCGTAACGCCGACTATGTCCGCGTCCACCGCCCACACTACCGGCGCCACAATGCAGGAGGCCAGGAGTATGGGTGTGTTGTCTATGGGCCTCTCCTCTGTGTCGTACAGCCGTGACAGTGTGTCTGCCTTCACATTCTTAGTACCTGGTATGTATGACAATGTGAAATCAAACCGGGTGAAGAACAAGGCCCACCTGGCCTGGCGAGGGTTCAGCCTCCTCGCTGCCCAGATGTACTCTAGGTTACGGTGGTCAGTCCAGACGAGGAAAGGGTGTTTAGCCCCCTCGAACCAGTACCTCCACGTGGTCAGGGCTCTGACAACAGCCAACAGCTCCCGATTACCAACGTCGTAGTTCTGCTCTGCCGGGTTGAGCTTCTTAGAGAAGGCACAGGGGTGGAGCTTGGGTGGCGTGCCCAAGCGTTGAGAAAGGACAGCGCCTATCCCTACCTCGGACGCATCCACCTCCACTATGAACGGTAATTATGGATCGGGATGGGCCAGTACCGGGGCTGAGGTGAACAGAGCCCTCAGGTTACTGAAAGCCCTGTCAGCCTCAGCAGACCAGCGGAGCCGGGATGGCCCACCCTTCAACAGAGAGGTGATGGGAGCTGCGACCTTACCAAAGCCCCGGATAAACCTACGATAGTAATTGTCAAAGCCAATAAAGCGCTGCACCTCCTTTACCATGGTTGGAGTCGGCCAATTACACATGGCTGAAATGTGGTCTCCCTCCATCTCCACACCTGAGGTGGTGATGTGGTATCCGAGGAAGGAGACGGACTGCTGGAAGAACAAACACTTTTCTGCCTTGGCATAAAGGTCATGTTCCAACAGATGGCCCAGCACTCTGCGAACCAAGGACACATGGTCGGCGCGCGTAGCGGAATACACCAGAATGTCATCGATGTAGACCACCACACCGCGACCAAGCATGTCCCGAAACACCTCGTTCACAAAGGACTGGAAGACAGATGGAGCATTCATCAACCCGTACGGCATCACCAGGTATTCGTAATGCCCCGTGGTTGTGCTGAATGCTGTCTTCCACTCGTCCCCCTCCCGGACACGCACCTGGTTGTACGCACTCCGGAGATCTAATTTCGTGAAGAAGCGCGCCCCATGCATTGATTCTATAACGGAGGAGATGAGGGGTAAAGGGTTACTATAGCGACTGGTAGTTTGATTAAGTGCCCGGTAATCAATGCAAGAGCGCAGACCTCCATCCTTCTTCTTCATGAAAAAGAAACTTGAGGAGGCAGGCGAAGTGGAGGGATGTATGAACCCCTGACGCAGGGACTCGGAGACGTATGTCTCCATAGCCTATGTTTCAACATGCGACAGGGGATAGACATGACTCCAGGGAGGCACAGCGTCTAACCGGAGGTTTATTGCGCAATCCCCCACCCGATGAGGTGGTAATTTGGTCACCTGCATTTTGGAAAACACGTGAACCAAGTCGAGGTATTCGGGGGGAATGCGCATGGTGGAGGTAGTGTCTGGACTTTCCACCGTGGTTGCACCAACGGAAACAACTAGACACCTACCCTGACACTCTCGCGACCACCCTGTGAGAAACTTCTGCAGCCATGAAAAGGTGGGGCCATGTAGTGCGAGCCAGGGAAGACCCAACACAACAGGGAAATCAGGGGACTCAATAATATAAAAAGTGATTTGCTCCCTATGGGTCTCCTGCATAATCATCATGACTGGTGCTGTAACCACCCTAACAAAACATGACCCTAATGGTCGACTGTCAAGTGCTTTGATGGGAAATGGAATGGGTAGGGGTAACCAATGTGATACATAGCTAAAGACCTGTCCATAAACTTCCCAGATGCGCCTGAATGGACCAGCGCCTTACCGTGTATGGTGAAGTGCACAGCAGAGGGCTCTCAACGAGTGTGGGTTTGTGAGAGTGCCCTGCCTGCCTCCTCCAGACCCAGAAGAATGCTGACGACAGTGTGCAGCAGAATGTCCTCTCTTGCCACAGGAGTGACACTGGATCTGTCATCCTCCGTTCTCCCGGATCGCTGCACCACCCAGCTCCATCAGCACGTAATCCAGGTTGCAGGGGGGTGAAACGGGCAGGCCCCTTCCAGGACGTCCTCTGGAAGCCAGCAGGTTGTCCAACCGGATGGCATGTCCACCAGCTAGTTGAAAGTCAACGTGGCATCCCGGCAGGCTATCTCCCTTCGGACGTCCTCCTGCAGGCTGCACCAGAAGTGGTTGATGAGGGCCCGTTCGTTTCAACCGGACTCCGCCGGTAGAGTTCTAAACTCCAGGGCAAAGTCTTGCGTGATCCTTGTCCCCTGCCTCAGATGGACCAGGCGCTCGCTGGCCTCTCTTCCTTCGGGCGGGTGATCGAAGACTGCCCGGAAGAGGCGAGCAAACACCCCGTAGTTGTCCAACGCGTCTCCTCCTTCACTCCAGACCGCATTGGCCCACTCCATGGCTTTCCCTGAGAGGCAGGAGATGGGGGCGGACACCTTCTCCCACTTCTAGGGAGCAGGGCTGATGGTGGAAAAATAGAGGCCGCTGTCCCGTCGTACTCCCTCGGTCGGGATAGGTGAATCCCTCTGGGTGCTGGGGTGTGGGTGGCTGGATTCAGTCGCTCAGCTGGTCCCGAAGGGTCGGGTCATCTCCTCTCCAGGAGTTGGACGACCTGGAGAACCCGATCCATCGCTTCGCCCATGCTGGCTAGCATGTTGGAATGCTCCCAGACCCGCTCCACGACTCCAGGCATATTCCAGTTTCCTGCTGACTCCATGCTGTTTGGGTGTGTGATTCTGTGGCGGGTGATTTGGACGGAGTCAGGCGCAGGAGGGTAAATCACAGAATAAATGGTTTATTCGATAAACAGCGGTACGTAGCAATGCGTAAAACACTCCAGTGCGGTAAATACGGTGCACTGGAGAAAACAAGGCAGACGGGTGAATATCCCGGCGATACAAAATACAATAGCTCCACCGAGATATAGTAACCTCCACAATAAACAATCACACACAAAGACAAGGGGGGCAGAGGGAATACTTATACAGGTACTGATGAGGGGATATGAACCAGGTGTGTGTAATAAACAAGACAAAACAAATGGAATGATGAGATGATGAGTGGCAGTGGCTAGAAGGCCAGTGACGACGAACACCGAAGCCTGCCCGAACAAGGAGAGGAGGCAGCTTCGGAGGAAGTCGTGACACAATATTACACATCCCCTTAATATCCAAAGTACCTCCATATTGCACGTCCCTATAATCTCCCTTTCATATTGCACAGTTAGTTACATTTCACAGTTAGTTCACTATTGCATGTTCACAAATGAGTAAGTTCATCCCCATGCCCCTAAGGGTCAGTGCGTGTGGCACAAATTTGTTTTTGTACCTGACCAGTTTGCACTGGGGGAGGCTGTAGCGCTTTCTGGATTGCAGGAGCACAGCAGCTTGCATTGAGAGGCTCAGGGATGAGTTTGTATGATGGTTGAGAGACGAGGCAGCAGCAGTGGCTTTGCTGATCAAACTGGTTGTCTCCACAGCACTGGTGGTGGATGGACATTTTGGTCAGGACCTTCCTTCCTTTAATGACATTTCCACAGCAAAGTTGGTGGTCTTCATTGTAAAGCTCTGTGGAACAGGTAATAACAATTTATCAGATTTATCATTTAAAAGCACTTTTTCAAGTGCTCAGGTCAAGTGTTACAAGCTTGACATTGTGAAAGGTAATGAGTGAGCATAGGAGCCATGAGCTGCAGGTGGGAAATTAGGCTGTCACAGGGACTTAGCATGAGAGAATTGGGAAACATCTCACAAACAGCTTTCGGAGTAGACAGACATTTTACATTACATTTTAGTTATTTAGCAGACGCTCTTATCCAGAGCGACTTACAGTTAGTGAGTGCATACATTATTTTATTTTTATTTTTTCATACTGGCCCCCCGTGGGAATCGAACCAACAACCCTGGCATTGCAAACGCCATGCTCTACCAACTGAGCTACATCCCTGCCGGCCATTCCCTCCCATACCCTGGACGACGCTGGGCCAATTGTGCGCCGCCCCATGGGTCTCCCGGTCGCGGCCGGCATTGACAGAGCCTGGATGGGAAACAGTAAAACAATACAACTACATAATCAACGATGATTCACTTACCTTTTCCACAACACTTGACATGGGGACGGGTCCTGGTTAGGATCTGTGAGTCACAGCATAACTGGTTGAGTGGGTCATAGGCTCTATAACCACAGCAATCTGACACCAGCTGGCTCACATTCAGAGTCAGTCGACCTGCAAGAAATGGTCACAGATAAACACATATCAAGAATATCAAAACAAACTTGGGAGGTGCTGAGAAAAACAATGTTTTCACAGTTACCAGGTTTAAGTAAATAGATGCAGTGGGATACTGCTAGGAGACATGACTCTGTCTATCTCACCTTCACAACAGGAAGACTGGGTGAGGTTAAAGGCCCTGTTTCCACAGCAGGACAGCCCCGTCCCCCTTATGCCAGACTCCTTCACAGCAGGTGAAATCTAGAATGTCAAATTTCAGCCCGCCGCAGAGGTGATCTCTGGGAGACCTGCAAGGCAGAGGCTCATCTTCATGTCTAGAAGGCATTATGTGCAGCACATACACTCTTAGAAAAAAAAGGTGCTATCTAGAATGATTATTTGGCTGTGCCCTTATAGGAGAACCGTTTGAAGGACCATTTTTGGTTCCAGGTAGAAACCTTTTGGTTCCAGGTAAAAAAATAACTTTGGGTTCCATGTAGAACCCTTTCCCCAGAGGGTTCTATGTGGAACCCAAAGGGGTTATACCAGGAACCAAAAATAGTTCTAACTGGAACCAAAAAGGGTTCTTCAGATGGTTCTCCTATGGGGGCAGCCAAATAACCCTTTTGGAACCCTTTTTTTAGACATAGACATAGAGTGGAGACACAATGCTCACAGATAGAGTCAGATCATGATTACACATCTTAATTAAATAAAGGTAGTAGGATGAAGTTGACCCTAAACCGAAGCACCGCCCCAATGCATTATATTGTACAGCAAAGGCCGCAGCAGACTCTTTCGTCCAAGTGCGCCCCCGCCTGCATGTGAGCAATTGGCTGGGGAACGGCTGATTCACGGAGTAACTCGTGAAGGCTAACATTTTTTAGATTATATGCCATGTCAATATTATTTCACACCTTGAAAATTATTATTTGTCTATAAAAAATTATCTGAGCTGCATGCTTTTGAACAAGTCACAGGACGCATGAGCTGCATTCATTCATACATAAGGACATAATATTATATATAGGCCTATAGCATACAGAAATTGGTTTACCCTATGTCCTAAAATAAATTAGTTAATATGGGCAGAATATTGTATAAAATATTTGGATGGTTAACTCTCTAAACCTACCTATATAGACCTACTTTATCTAGGCGTACGCAATATCTAGTTTCTACAATGTTGACAGAATAAATAAAACAGGGTTGGGCAGATTACTTAAAAAAATATTGATTTGAAATTGACTCAAAAATACAACCAACATATACTTAATAAAAATTAGTGCAAGTCCTTTCAATGATTTGTTAATTTCATTTGAACAACACATTTAAATAAGTATTTTAAGTGATTTAATTTACTCAATTATTTTGCACAATGATGTATGCATGTTTGAATAAAGAAAAAAAAAATCTATATTAGTATTAAGTAGCTTGTTGTGCCATGAGGTGTAATGGATCATGATGAACGGATGTCAAAACAGTCAGGCAAATTGGCGTTCAATGATGAGACCACCCATTCACACCATCACTACTCTTAATAATATCGGCAAATGCAGCACCCTGAAATACTTGCAGTTCATCTCGAGTTACTGCTGGTGGATTGAGCACTGTGCTCAACAAAGTGGTTTAAAATATTAAATGACCAAATACATTAAACAATGTTAAACATTCATGTTTGTGTAACACTCATATTTGTGTTTCGTCAACACATATTTGAATCATATTATCAGCTAAATCCAACCCATTTCTATGGCTATTATTAATTCCCTGGACTTACTTTGTTTGTATAAATTCAAACAACTTATTATATAACACTTCATTTTTTACAGTGTACATGACAAACAAAGTTCAATAGAAGAAACAAAGAAATCGAAAAAAAATTATATTTCAACCTTTTAATAATTCATTTATTTAAATTTGCTCCAGAATCTAAGTAGAAATATAATAAAATTAGGTCTACAATAATATTATTTCTTTGAAAAATAGACTCAAACCGCATAGGTCTATATGTTGAATAGCAAGGCACTGCGCAGATTAATTAATTTTCAGTTTAGAATAGATTCTGCACAGCAGTTTATCGGGCCGATTCCCTCGAGACCCTCGAATATGGTGTTTGTCAGCAACATACTGAATATCTCTCCATAGATTGGAGAAGTATTATTAGTGATCGGCACCAATATGGAAAGTCTGTATCAATTGGCTGCATGTTTTCGATATGAAAATTAGAAATGGAAATGTGACTGACCTTCACAGGTAGGAAAATGTGCAGGCCATGTGCTGATAGAACAGTTTGATTGAACAGTTTAGCTGTGACTGTTCACTCCACCAATCAGGCCTTTATGGTAGAGTGGCCAAACGGAAGCCACGCCGCAGTAAATGGCACATGACAGCCCGCTTGGAGTTTGCCAAAAGACACCTAAAGGACTCTCAGACCATGAGAAACAAAATTCTCTGGTCTGATAATACCAAGATTGAACTCTTTGGCCTGAATGCTAAGCATCACGTCTGGGGATGTTTTTCAGCAGCAGGGAGACTAGTCAAGGTCGAGGGAAAGATTAATGGAGCAAAGTACAGAGAGTTCCTTGATGAAAACCTGCTCCAGAGCGTTCAGGACCTCAGACTGGGGCAAAGGTTTACCTTCCAACAGGACGATGACCCTAAGCACACAGCCAAGACAACGCAGGAGTTGCTTCGGGACAAGTCTCTGAATGTCTTTGAGTGGCCCAGCCAGAGCCCAGACTTAAACCCGATCGAACATCTCTGGAGAGACCTGAAAATAGCTGTGCAGCAACGCTCCCCATCCAACCTGACAGAGCTTGAGAGGATCTGCAAAGAGGAATGGGAGAAACACCCAAGAAGACTCGACGCTGTAATCGCTGCCAAAGGTACTGAGTGAAGGGTCTGAATACTTATGTAAATGTGATATCTGTTTTTTTTTTTTTTATACATTTGCAAAAATGTCTAAAAACCAATTTTTGCTTTGGCATTATGGGGTATTGTGTGTCGATTGATGACGGGAGAGAAAAAAAACGATTTAATCAATTTTAGAATAAGGCTGTAACATAACAAAATGTGGAAAAAGTCAAGGGGTCTGAATGCACTGTATAATATTCTACCCATATGATTTTCTTTACATTTTAGGCCACATAAGGAACAGCTATGTATGATTTAATAAAAAAAGCAGCAAACAGACAACATTGGAATTTCACATTCTAAAACTCATAAACAGACACAGGAAATAGGCTACAGCTGGCTTCATAATTTCCCTGCCAAATATCCTAGGCCTACAAAGAAACTCGATGTATCTCAACAAAGTTGAGTGGGTGGGGAAAGTTGAGAGCATGGGGGTATGCAGCATAGCAGTGGTGGAAAAAATACCTAATTATCATACTTGAGTAAAAGTAAAGATGCCTTAATAGAAAATGACTCATGTACAGTGGGGGAAAAAAGTATTTAGTCAGCCACCAATTGTGCAAGTTCTCCCACTTAAAAATATGAGAGAGGCCTGTAATTTTCATCATAGGTACATGTCAACTATGACAGACAAAATGAGCATTTTTTTGTTACCTGTATAAAAGACACCTGTCCACAGAAGCAATCAATCAATCAGATTCCAAACTCTCCACCATGGCCAAGACCAAAGAGCTCTCCAAGGATGTCAGCGACAAGATTGTAGACCTACACAAGGCTGGAATGGGCTACAAGACCATCGCCAAGCAGCTTGGTGAGAAGGTGACAACAGTTGGTGCGATTATTCGCAAATGGAAGAAAAACAAAATAACTGTCAATCTCCCTCGGCCTGGGGCTCCATGCAAGATCTCACCTCGTGGAGTTGCAATGATCATGAGAACGGTGAGGAATCAGCCCAGAACTACACGGGAGGATCTTGTCAATGATCTCAAGGCAGCTGGGACCATAGTCACCAAGAAAACAATTGGTAACACACTACGCCGTGAAGGACTGAAATCCTGCAGTGCCCGCAAGGTCCCCCTGCTCAAGAAAGCACATATACAGGCCCATTTGAAGTTTGCCAATGAACATCTGAACGATTCAGAGGAGAACTGGGTGAAAGTGTTGTGGTCAGATGAGACCAAAATTGAGCTCTTTGGCATCAACTCAACTCGCCGTGTTTGGAGGAGCTGGAATGCTGCCTATGACCCCCAAGAACACCATCTCCACCGTCAAACATGGAGGTGGAAACTTTATGCTTTGGGGGTGTTTTTCTGCTAAGGGGACAGGACAACTTCACCGCATCAAAGGGACGATGGACGATGGGTGAGAACCTCCTTCCCTCAGCCAGGGCATTGAAAATGGGTCGTGGATGGGTATTCCAGCATGGCAATGACCCAAAAACACACGGCCAAGGCAACAAAGGAATGGCTCAAGAAGTAGCACATTAAGGTCCTGGAGTGGCCTAGCCAGTCTCCAGACCTTAATCCCATAGAAAATCTGTGGAGGGAGCTGAAGGTTCGAGTTGCCAAACGTCAGGCTCGAAACCTTAATGACTTGGAGAAGATCTGCAAAGAGGAGTGGGACAAAATCCCTCCTGAGATGTGTGCAAACCTGGTGGCCAACTACAAGAAACATCTGACCTCTGTGATTGCCAACAAGGGTTTTGCCACCAAGTACTAAGTCATGTTTTGCAGAGGGGTCAAATACTTATTTCCCTCATTAAAATGCAAATCAATTTATAACATTTTTTACATTCGTTTTTCTGGATTTTGTTGTTGTTATTCTGTCTCTCACTGTTCAAATAAACCTACCATTAAAATTATAGACTGATCATTTCTTTGTCAGTGGGCAAACATACAAAATCAGCAGGGGATCAAATACTTTTTTCCCTCACTGTAAGTGCTTTTGGGTGTCAGGGAAAATGTATGGAGTAAAAAGTACATCATTTTTTTTTAGGAATGTAGTGAAGTACAAGTAAACGTTTTCAAAAATAGAAATACTGAATAAAATACAGATACCCCCAAAAAAAACTTAAGTAGTACTTTAAAATATGTTTACTTAAGTACTTTACACCACTGCAGCGTAGTAGGCCTAGCTTCCATAAAAAGTTTTACTCTACAAAAATAAAAAATAAGTCCCCTAAACACTGATCTAAGGTCAGTTTTAGCAACTTCTACCCAGAGCACAGATGAGGGAATTATATACTCACTATATACTCGCTATATACTCACGTGACATAGAACCTCCTACCATGGGCAGAGACTGGAAGTCCAAAACTATTGACCTGCCCTGTGAGATGGAACCATAGGAACATGCACACATCAAGACAATGTCCTGGCTACGTGTTCTGTGAGAAA